TTCCCACTTTATCCAACTGGGAGTTTCATACTGTCAAATTTTTTCTGTTAAAAATTCACTTAAATACTCGTATTATTCCTGCAGGGATACAAGTCATTTACTTGTGAAGAATAGTACAAGATGTCAACTGTGTATTATATGATTTCACCAAAGGTTGATACACTATTGATAAAAGCTTCTAACCATACACACGCACTTGTAATCTTTGAGTCTTGTCATTATTTGCTTCAGATTTATGACATAGGGTGTTATACAAGAACTTGAATAATATTTAAATATATTCTTGAAAACACTAAAAAATTGGGATTTTAAAATAATTAAACTTGTTGGACTTGTCAAATGAAGTGAGTTTCTTTAATTTGACATATCGACTACGAGTGTAATACAGTAGAACCTCGTAGTACGAGTGCCTCATTATACGAGTAATTCGCTTTACGAGCAGTCATTGACAAGAATTTTTGACTCGTACAACGAGTAAAAATTCGTTGTACGAGCGATTGTCAGTTGCGGCGGTGACTAAGGTAAAGAGAGGCTAACTGACGTCGTCAATTTTAAGAAAAAAACCGGTCAAAATCAAGCTGGAGCACATAGGCTAGGCGTCTCGAGTATTCGTTCACTTTATTGGAGGAAATTATTCGAAGTACGTCTCAGATGACGTTACTACTAATACAATCATTTTATCTTAGTTGTTGATCGCCACCTCGCCCATTCACGTGCTCAGTTTATCACTATCCTACCACTAAAAGCAGCCTGCGCTCACTCAATTCACAAGTTCATCTCGTAGCAGTAAGACCCCGAACATTTTGTGCTTATTAATATTCTGTTTTGTCCATTTTTGGATTTATTGTGTCGGTGAGAGACAACTCGCACAAATAACTAATCTGTAAAAAACAAAATATCGATCGATCGACTATATATTATTACGCTAAGGCGTGTGTCCCGCTTGCTACTTTCTATATTTTTTATCTTTTTTATGAGCATATAAAAATGTAGATAACACAATTTTTTAAAAACGCCTTTTAATTTAAAAAAAGAATATTTTAGTAGAACAATGTGAGGAAAGAGTTGATTTTAATTATGATTATAGTATGAGTTTTTAAATAAATAACTTTTTTAGTATATTTGATTATTCTTTGTAAATATATAAGGCAGAAAATATCTTTTAAATATTTGCTAAAAATGGTTTTGGCATGTCTACTAATTAATTATTAGTATTATTATTAATTATTAAAGATCGGTTGTTTAGTTAATAATTAATAGTTCGTAGTTAGGTTAGTTGTTATTATGTTGTAAAGTTATAATTATTAATTACAGTTAATCAGTTAGTATAAATAATCAAAATTTTTAATCGTTAACCATTTATAATTATGATAATAGTTAATAATTATTACTCAAAGAATATTTTCATAAGTATATTTTGTTTTTTACAGACTAGTTATTTGGGCAACTTGTCCTTAAATTTTTCTGGTCGAGTTGTCCCTTTGCCGTTCATCTCATGCAAGTAAGACCCCGAACGTTTTGTGCTTATTAATTTTCTGTTTCGTCCATTTTTGGGTTTATTGTGTCAATTTTTTGTGCTTACTATGGGTCAGAAGAAAGTGTGTGATAAAGTTTTAGGTGCTAAGAAGAAAAAGCTTATTACGATAGAAGTGAAGAAAGAAATAATACAAAAACACGAGGCAGGAGCGCGTGTAGTGGACCTGGCACAGAAATACGACCGAACAACATCGACGATCTGCACTATCCTGAAGAAGAAGAATGAGATAAAAGGGGTTGCACCGGCAAAGGGTGTCTCTAGGCTGTCCAAGCAAAGAACGAATATCCATGAGAAGATGGAAAAACTGCTTCTCCTTTGGATCAACGAGAAGCAGCTCGCAGGTGATATCCTGACAGAGGCAATTATCGCTGAGAAAGCCCGAATGCTGTATGGGGATCTCCAGAAACAGAGCCCAGGACCATCGACAGAAGAGGCTCCAGCAGAAGAATTTAAAGCAAGTCGGGGATGGTTCGACAAATTTAAGAAGCGAACTGGCGTGCACAACGTCGTGAGGCACGGTGAAGCAGCCAGCTCTGATACAAAGGCTGCCGAGGAATTCGTTAAAGAGTTTAGTTCGCTCATTGCAGAAGAGGGATATGTCTCTCAGCAGGTGTTCAACTGCGATGAAACTGGACTCTTCTGGAAGAAGATGCCCAGAAGAACGTATATTACCGCCGAAGAAAAGAAGCTGCCAGGCCACAAGCCTATGAAAGATAGGCTAACTCTTACATTTTGCGCCAATGCGAGTGGGGACCTGAAAATCAAACCCTTGCTCATATATCATTCAAAAAATCCTAGGGCGTTCAAGGCGCATAGAATCCAGAAGGAGCAACTGCCTGTCATGTGGAGAGCTAACGCTAAGGCTTGGGTCACAAGGGAAATTTTTGTTGAATGGATTAATAACATTTTTGGTCCCCGGGTCCACACGTACCTCAAGGAGAACGATCTTCCTATGAAAGCCCTATTCGTTCTTGATAATGCCCCGGGACACCCTCCAAACCTTCAAGACGAAATCTTGAAAAATTTTAAATTTATTAAAGTTCTTTACCTGCCGCCGAACACCACTCCCATATTGCAGCCGATGGATCAGCAGGTGATTTCAAATTTTAAAAAATTGTATATCAAACATATGTTCCGTCGGTGCTTTGATGTCACCGAGAACACAAACCTGACCCTACGTGAGTTCTGGAAGGACCACTTCAACATTGTGAATTGCCTCGGTATCATTGATGTAGCCTGGCAGGGCGTAACGAGGAGGACTCTTAATTCTGCATGGAAGAAATTGTGGCCTGAATGCGTCTCCGACGGTGACTGTTCAGGTTTCGCCACAAACGCACCCGAAGTCGAGGATATAGTGTCTCTAGGCAAGTCTAATAAAAAAGCATGCAAGAAATAATCATGTTTTATTAATCTACTAAACTTAAAACGGAGACCATCTAAGCGTATGGAAGACGGTGAAGCTGGGAATAGGTTATTGTCTGTTACGAGAATCTTTGTCCATTGAAACGTCAGGTAGAATAATTTCTGGTGTTTTAATATTTCTTTCATCATCACTTGCTTTGGCATTTTTGGCCTCACTTCCGTCACTTTGAGCACTTGCAGATCGTTTCTTGAAAAACCTATCAAGAGTAATTTGCCTTGTTCTTGATTCCAAAATGTCACGAAAATAGTCAACACCATTGTCGTTGAATAAAGCAGTCGCACGACATGCACTTAATTTTTGTGGGTGGTATTTTTCAACAAAGAGTTGCACTTTTTGCCACATCATAAGCATTTCTTTGATATCACTTGTAGGGAGAACCTCCGATACACTTTCCTCTATTTCTGGTTCCTTAATCTTTTCCATCGCATCCGTGTGCTGGTGTTCCTGAAGCAGCAGAAGTTCCTCTGTCGTTATTTCTTCTCCATCTTCGTCGATGAGCTCGTTAATGTCTTCATCGTCAACCTCGAGGTCCAAATTCATATTACATGTGCACTATTGTTTATTTTTTTAATTGCACCTTTTCTGTTTAAAAAATAAACTTAAAAACAGGCATTTTAGGGATGGAACGGATGATTTATTTTCATATTAATTTCAATGCGAAAAATTGCTTCGTAATACGAATAAATCGCAATACGAGCTCGGTCTGGGAACGATTTAAACTCGTACTGCGAGGTTCTACTGTATTGTAAAAACAAAGGCTTCCTGTCAAGATAAAGTATTGTAAAAACAAAGGCTTCCTGTCAAGATAAAGTATTGTAACAACAAAGGCTTCCTGTCAAGATAAAGTATTGTAACAACAAAGGCCACTTGTCAAAATAAAGTATTGTAAAAACAAAGCCCACTTGTCAAAATAAAGTATTGTAAAAACAAAGGTCACTTGTCAAAATAAAGGACTGTAACAACAAAGACTTCCTGTCAAGATAATGTATTGTAACAACAAAGCCCACTTGTCAAAATAAAGTATTGTGAAAACAAAGACTTCCTGTCAAGATAATGTATTGTAACAACAAAGTCCACTTGTCAAAATAAAGTATTGTAAAAACAAAGGCCACTTGTCAAAATAAAGTATTGTAAAAACAAAGGCCACTTGTCAAAATAAAGGATTGTAACAACATACGCTGCCTGTGAAAATAAAAGATTGTGACAACATAGGATGAATGTAAAAATAAAGGCTTTGAAGTTTTTCGACATAAAGACATGTAAAACCAAAGGCTGCTTGTCAAAATAAAGGCTTGTAAAACCAAAGGCTGTCTTTTGACATAAAGACATGTAAAAACAAAGGCTGTCTTTTGACATAAAGACATTTAAAAACAAAGGCTGTCTTTTGACATAAAGACATTTAAAAACAAAGGCTGTCTTTTGACATAAAGACATGTAAAAACAAAGGCTGTCTTTTGACATAAAGATGTGTAAAAACAAAGGCTGTCTTCCAAAATAACGGTTAGTAAAAACAAAGGCTGTCTTTTGACATAAAGACTTGTAAGAACAAAAGCTGCCTGTCTAAATAAGGGATTGAGAAAACAAAGGCTGCCTGTCTAAGTAAGGGATTGTAAACACAGGCTGCTTGTAAAAACATAAGCTGTGTTTCAAAATAAAGAGTTGTAAAAGCATAGGTCATCTTTCAAAATAAAGGCATGTTAAGGATTTTACAGATATTAAAATCACCAGAAAGTTTTTTTTTCTTCTTAGAACATTATTGAACATTTTTAGGATATGTTAATACAACTATAATATATTTTTGCAACTACTGGGAAATACTTTTAGATACACAGATATAAACAGGTTTGATTAATACTTTAATGTGTATATAACAATCTTTAAAAGAAATTCATCTCACTGTTCATAACAAAGAACAATATCGTGTAAAAAACAAATCACAAAATTGTCTAAACTTCCCTGGGGGTTTAATACTTAATGGTATGAACTGCAAATGTTTATCCTCATGCTAAAGACTAGAAATAAAAACTAAGAAACACTCACTTCGAACAGCATTCAGAAACTCAGGACAGAGTGAAGCAGGTACAACTGGCTCAGGAAGTTCTCGAAGGAAAAGCTTTAACAAGCTGGCAGCAGAGGGCACATCTCCTTCTGTCTCTAACTGAGCATCCCCAGTCTGGTCTATAGCAGTTTTAAGTTTGTCTATCAAGCGAGCATTACCTCCTATTCTGAATAAACCTTCTTGTTTCAAACCTATAAAAAAGTAATTATATAAAAACCTAACAATATTGTATTATACTGAAGAGAAAACTATAACAAAAAATACAAACAACAAAATGCTACAAGTAATCAATTAAAATCATATTTGTTTTAAGATACATTAACCTATTCAATGACTGATTTTAGGGCAAGGATCAGTAGTATAAAAAGAAGCAAAACATTTAAAAAAAATTACAGCTTTGCTAGGAACATACAAAATATATCATACTCTTTCAAACACAAAATATTCCTTTACCTATACTGTGTTAAATGATATACTGCTCTCTAATGGTTGCAATAATAAATTCAATAGTCACTCCTATGACCTCCTTACATACCACATAAGAGACCAAACTCCCAATACAAGAGACATCATGATTTAATTTCTCCAGTCAGTAATCAAGAAAAACAAGAAGTATTTAATTACTATTACATACAACATACATATCAGATGCCACTGCTGTGATAAATGCGAGTAAATAAGCCAGACACACACACATATCTGTATATGGACAAGTTGTCACTGCTTTAGTGATTTTAAAAGGGATGGGGCAAATACTGGAGATCAGTAATTAAATAGAAATATGAATACTTCATATTTTTATGAATACAAATACAGCAAAAATGCTAATTATTTGAATGCAAATACACAGGAATATATTCATGAATACTTTGTCAGATAATATGCAATAATAATGAAACAGCAGATAATAAGATTTCAATACTTTTATTTTATGAAACAAACTTTTTAGAAATTGAAACAAACAAAATTTGAACAAATAATAACATTTCAATACTTTTATTTTTTAAAATGCAATAAGAAAGTTTTAGAATAAAAACTATTTTTAACCTGTAGCCCCTGCAGCCAATTTTAAATTCCTTTCTGCACTGGTACTGCATTACATTCAAAATTTAATTAACCACTTTACTAACAATGTATTTTGTTGAAATTATTATTATCAAGTACATTATAATTTAAATTTTTACATTATCTACATTTTATTCATTTATTTTAAAAAGAAACATCTAAAACAGCTATTAAAACTGCAGTTTTTGTGGTCACGTCATCCACTCACGGTTACAATTCTCAACTATTAAGAGCCCTTATACAAGAAACTGTGAGTAGCTAGTGTAGGCTGTTATTTAAGAAAGTCGAAGTCCACCATACACATGTATTTTATTACCATCTAGAGACATTCCAAGAGTTTCTTCCCACAGGAAATCGTTGTAAATTTTTCTTTAGTTTAAGGTCAGCCAAACCCACTTGCAATGTCATAGCTGTGTTGCTACACAATAGTTTGAAACTGAATGACATGCTTATAACAAACAGAAGGAGCAGATTTCATACTATTTATCTAACTAGGCAAAGAGACATTACCAGTGTATGGATTTGTATGTATGCAATAGAAAAGAAGCTTAGTTCATTGTTGAGTGGTGCCCTTAACATTTGGTAATACTTTCTCACTTTATACATATTAGATTGATAGACAGTTAAACAGTCAACCCTATGATGCCCAGTTTCATTATCAGAGAAAAGGTAATGTCACTCTCATCACCTTTCATTACAAAAATAAAATTAGTGGGTCAAATTGTTTGAAGTTTGACAAAAATTTTCCCAAAATTATGTAGTTTCAGAAAAAATAAAATATTTAATTTTTACTATTTCCAATTAAAAATTCGTTATTTCATTTAGTTATTTGCACTCAGACTCTGAACAGTTCACCTGCAAGGTGATTTTCATATGAAGTATAAAAATTATATTTTTAATCTAACAGTTTTTCACATTTCATTTGCATAATCTCTAGAACCTCATAAATGAATATCAAAAGTTATTTTAAGGTAAATGTTTATATTATATTTTCCATTTTCCTCTACTATATCACTAACTATCTATTATCATCAACATACAGTACAATTAAATGTTTAAAATTAACAAATGGAGATACGTACATACCTTTCAACTCTTCGTAGAAAGCCACTAGAATAGTCATATTTTTCTAATATGCTTAATTTCAAATCTTTATCTTTTCACTTAGATTTTTAATTTTCCTTTCAAATTCTTCTTTTATCATTTATGCCAATACATCAACTGATGCCTGCAAGGCTTTATGAAGTGATTTCGGCAGACTTCCCGCAGAGACGGGTTGTGTAAACAAGATGGTGCTTATACACGCAATCTTATTTATAACTCTTCCCAATCCAGACACTATGTTAAACTTATAAAAATCATTAAACCATTAAAATATGATTTTTAAACATAATTAACTAAAATATAAAAGACCTAAATACAATTTAACTCTCTTGCTAACTACAGCATATTTAGATAAGAAACAACTGTAAGTGCTAATACTACTTCCATATGAAAACAATATCAAAATAACCATTGGTGGAGTACAGTGTGAGTACACTTGTGTCATCTAAGTACATGTATGTTGTAGATTTCAGGGCAGAGTATAGAAGGTAGGCATCGCACATGTGAAGGGTTGGAAAATTTATGTTTCACAAACATATCACATGTCAATTAGGTCAACCACACATGCTTAGCATGTAGATACTGGTGTACATTGCAAACTTATGTGGCTAGGAGTGAACTGATGGTAAAGCCGAGATTTTTCATAGTGTGTGGATCACCCAACACCAGAAATGAAGTTTAAGTATTTTTTTGAAATGCTTCCTTTGAAACAAAGGAATTAAACCTAGATAATATAGAAATTCAAATTATTACATGCATCATAATGTTAATTTCATTGACATATACTGATAGTAAAGTGGTTTAATTAAATTTTGAATGTAACATAGTACCATATGCCAGGCACCACAGGGTTAAATTGAATTTAGGTTTTACTTTTATATTTTAGTTAATTATTTATTATTTGTGTTTTAGAATGCATATTCGGAAAGGTTTAAATATTTTTTTATAATTTTAACTTGTTGTTGCCTGGATTGTAAAAGCTTATAAACTCAGTGTATGTATAAGCACCAATTTGTTTTTCCAATGAGTCTGTGCACAGTCTGCTGAAATAACTTCATAAAGCTCTGCTCACATCAGTTGATGTATCATCATAAATAGGAAAAGATGAAGAATTTGAAAGGAAAATTAAAAATAGATTATAAGTGAAAAGATAAAGATGTGAAATTATGCATATGACAAGGAAAAGAAGTTTGAAACTATTCTACAAAGAATTGAAAGATATGTACATATTTCTATTTGTTAATTTGAAACATTTCATTGCACTGTATGTTGAGTGTAAGAGATAATGTTTTTGATATAGTAGAAAAATGGAAAATAAAATATAAACATTTACCTTAAACACTTTTGATATTCATTTATGAGGTTTTAGAGATTATGAAAATGAAATGTGAAAAATTTAATGATTTTATTACTTCATATAAAAATCACCTTACAGGTGAACTATTCAGAGTGCAAGTGCAAATAACTACATTAAATAATGAATTTATTACAAATAGTAGAAAAAATCAAAATTAAATATTATATTTTTCTCAAACTACATACTTTTACAAATGTTCTTGTCAAATTTCAAATAATTTCACACACTACTTTTATTTTTGGAGCAAAATATAACAATAAGGATGTTAGGTGCAATGAATCATACCACGCAACTGACAAAGGGTTAAAGGAGACTTATAGACATTATAAATGTCCATTGTTCTTTATGAACATCAGTCATTCAAATGTCTTGTCAGCGATCAGGTTCGAGAGTTTTGCCTTCAATGGGGACAGAGGATGCTGGAACACTCAGGTAGCATTTGGCTAGTAGAGATATGGTAGGAGTTTTTCTCATGGATCTTCCAATAATTTAGAGGGTTCCTCTCTTCAGGAATGCAAGGATTATTGAGGTAGGTGTTGGTTTCTGTATCCTCTGAAGACGAAGTGTCTGGTTTCATGGAGGAAGCAAAGAAAACAAAAAGCTTAATTCTTTTGCAAAATGGGGATTGTTTGTTGAAGAAACTTTCTTGAATTGGATTCATAGACCATAGGTTTAGTAAAACACTAGTCAAGTTTAAATCTCGGATCTAATACCACAGCTAAGCAGAAAACACTTCATTGCTCAAATCCAGACAAGCAGAAAGCCTTGATCATGTTGGATGCATTCTCAGATATCACATATGACACCTTGTTGTTGATGTTAAAGAGATCTATTATTTCTTAATATTGAGTTGCAATGCTATCAGATGTGTGATGCCCCTCGAAATGCTGACATGCTAGCATGACTGTTTGCATTTTCCAGTCAAGTATAAAATGACCAGTGACTCAAAGAAAGCTGCACAATTGTCTGCTATTCCAGATATCCACAGTGACATGATGTTGTGTACAAGTTGCAGTAGAGAGATGAAATTTTGTTGGACATCATTAAACGTGCTCTCAATCAACAATGTGAGCAGATGCTTGCAACTGGGAAGAATATACAGAGAATCCATGGCTGCCATTAGATCTAGGGGTAAACTAAATTTCTCATGGGTGTTAAACTGTTTTTTATTTTTTTATTATAAACTATATTCTATATTATATAACTGATATACACTTTTGTATTTCTAGCACAATCATGAGGCAGAGCTAGAGAAGTCTACATCTGGCTCTGGTACTTTTGCTGAGGTGCAGGAACCTACAATACCGGCATACTGGTGAAAATCAACTAAATATAAGTCTACACATTTTCGTCATAAACAAATCACTAACAGACATGTCAATTTTATTGTTAGTACTCTGCAACCCTTCTCAGTAGTGGAGTGAAAAGATTTTTAATTATATTGTATAATTTACATAAAATATAGTTCATATTAACAAAAATAATAAAAAGGCTTACCTTCAGATATGTCAATAAGTTAGAAGTGGTATTTTCTGAAGTAGAAATAGTCCACTCACAATATTTACACTTTGTCTTGATGTGACCAGATTTAGCAGTAGGAAGTATGAAGTGTTCATGTACCATTGAAGGCAGTTTAGTAGCCATCTCAAATTCTCTCAAGTGACTTTACTAGATTAATACAATAACTTTTAAGTTGGTTGAAGAGTAATGACCTGATTTAACGTACTGCAGATGTAATAATGACAGTCTAGAAATTAGATGAGTACAAAAGTTTACATTTACTCTTACAATATTAAGTATTCACTAAACATTCACATTAAGTATTCAGTGAATATAAATACTATGCCATTTTAATAAAATAAAAATACTTTAATTTTCCCTACAAGTACAATTACTCCCAAAGCTTTTTTGAGTGCAATCGAATACAAATACCAAATACGAATGCCCCAAATTTGGATTTTAAAGGCATTTAATGGTCTTGATGTGCAAACACACATCCAAACATTTCCTCAACTTCATCAATGTAACTTAAAATTTTTCATTTATATGTACAATTTTGTAAACATTAAATTAATGTAAGCTTCATTAATTAATACAGCATGTTTATGATATTATTAGGGTAAATCTTATTTAAACTAAAAACAATAAGCAATAACATGCATGTAGATTATTAAAAATGTCTTTAAACATCATTCCAGACAAAAATCTACATACAAGTTGACTGAGTAATAACTGCTCTAGAACAGATAAAAATACAACAAATTTAATTGAAGGTTAAAATATAATACTCAAATATAAAAAAAAATTATAAACCAGATTTAAGTGCCTTCCTAGTTTGTTTTCACTATGAAATATGAGCATTAATTACACATAATATAAATTCCAATCACATACTGTTAAAAGTAACAATGTTATACAACATTCACCTTAACAGAAATTAAAATCTAACTAATATAAAATCTCACCATTTTCAACAATAAAACGGCAGAGCCTGTTGACCACAAATGGTACTGAACCCTGAGGAGAATTCTTTTCCACTAAAGCTTCCAGAGGAACTCCAAAAGTTTTTGCTGGACAAGAAGTCGATTTTCTTCTGGACAGAGGAGAACTAAGAAGTTTCCGCAACCGATCCATACGGCTTTCACTGCTAGCTTCATGATTTTGCTGGTCAAAAATTGCATAAACAACAGTATCTATGATAAATAGTCAGTTAATCTGCTGGTAACAACAACAAAATTTCAAAAGATGTAAAACTACTGTTAATAATAGTTAAAGTGTTAATAAGGATTCAATACAAACTGTTACAAAATAACAGCTAACATATTTCAGTGAGTTATATGTACAAAAATATGAAACCCTAACTAAAGCACTTTCAAATGAGGAACTTTCTTCATTACAGGTTTCCATGTTTTAATTTTTTGAGAATCTCAAGCATGATAAGTTGATCATAGTTTGAAATGCAGTGGTTCCATTAGTTGATTGTTTAGGTTTGGTTTCATTTTTTGAAATAAGATGGCTTCTTTTTCCTTAAGAGTTCATTCATCTTTTGCTTGATCTATTATTTTAAAGTGTGCAATATTTGGCTTTTTCCTACAGTTTTTTTAGATCACTGTAAATTATGGAGTTGTTGGAAGGGCTGTTTCATGCAACATAAACATTTTCCTTACCTGCAAAAGGTATTTTGGATAGATAGATACCTCTATCAACCACTAAGAGCTACTACCTCGAGCACATCTGCTGTAGAATTTCTTATGCATGCCACAAGCCTTGAACATATTCCTATCCCTACACATGTCTACATGTATTGTGCCAGCCTATGATGTAATCATCATAATGTTGCAGCCCTCAATCAGTAGGAGAATGACACAACCTCCATGTGCAATAATCCTCATGAGCACTAGCATGTGATCATAATCTCGTTCTTGAGAGGCAAAAAATACATTGGAAATGAAGAGAAAGGGTAGGAGATGGTGCAGAGAGATAAGAATTTGTCTGAAATACATTTTCAGGTAAAACAAATGTTAACTTCAGAAATATTATTTACCTCTCTGCACCACTAAGTGATAGAATCCTATCCTACATTGAAGATGAAAGGGACAGCACAGACCAATTACAAAGATAAAGTTCCTTTCTGAAATAGTGAAAGAAAGGGAAAGCTCATAGAATCAACTTCCAAGAGACCAGGGGTCACTAAGTGAAGCAGCACCCAGTAGAAGACTGCAACCTTCTCAAGCTGAGAACAATAGAAGAGTGGGCATAGAGAAAGAGATTGCACCAATCCAGGCTCAGAGGATTGACAGCCAGAGAAAATGAGTCTGAGATTAGTGACCAAAAGAGGGGAAGCATGGAATGAAGGGAGAATCACACAAGCATCGATCAGTGGGACCTCAAATGGGAAGAAATCCACTGAAAAACTTGAGGGTGCAAGGACACCACTCTATCAAATGAATCCTGTCCAGTTGAGACAAATGATTCCCACCATATCTAAAACTCCTGGAATGTGACATGTCGCAAGGTGAAAACAATGATCATAGGCCCAGTAAACGAATTCTAGAGTGAGAAAGCACAGTTCCCTAGAGAGGGTGCCTCCAGGTAGTTGATGTAAGAAATGGCCATAAAGTTGTCCAAGTGAATTTAACTCAAGATGACATGACAACAGTGACCAAAGAAACTGGTATGTTCAATATGCCTCAATCATCTCACAAAAGATAATGTGCAGAGAATGCTCCTCTGGAGACCAAACCCTAGAGTGGATTCCAAGGAGCCCAGAATAGCCCAAAAGATCAGGTCTGTAAGAAAATGGGCAAGACAAATATCAAGAATATAAGAGAAGGGGTTGTGGACACCCAAAAGGAAAGCAACCAGACTGAGGAGATCACAAAAACATGAGAACCAAGTCAAAACCATAACAGCTAGAGGAAGAAACAAAAGCCAAAGTGGCAAACAAAGACAAACAGGAGTCTCAATCAAAACCACTGGGGTTGTGATGAAGAACTTCAGTGAGGATGTGAAGAGCAAAGATAAAGCTATGAAGTAAGGTAAAGATAGATGAAGATAACTAGAAAGAAAATGACAAGGAAGGAGAAAGAGAAGTGTCCAAAGCAGAAAGAAAAGACACAAGAGATTGGGGTTCATGAAATATAAGAGTCATGACCTGAGGCTGTAACAAAGGAAACAAAAAAGATAAATAGGACAAGAAAGATGAGAAACAATGTAGAGTTGGGAAAGAGGGAAGCTCACAAATGAAAAACAACCAAACAGTCATTATTATATACAGGTAAAAGAGAAAGAACATCACATATCTTATTTATGACCATAGAAAACAGAGAAAACTGTTCCTCATCAGGTAGAGAAGAACCAGAAGTAAATTCTATAAATGAAAAAGATGGTCAAAATTGTCCACGACACAAGACAGGTACCATAAAAGGGAATGAAATATAATGATGAGAGACCTGAACTAGAGAAGCAGGCAGAAAGGGACCAACCACCTGATGCTGTTACAACATGGTTTTTCATAGTTTCATAAGACTGAAGCAATTGAAGTTATCCATGGCATCAAAAGTACAACATCACAGAGAGAAATTCGAGACCAGTCACATACAGGTGTGTGCTATACTAAGTAAACTAAAGGGATAACTACTGAATGTTAGTTCCAAAAACAAATAAAGTGCTTCCATACACTGTTGAGTGAGATAAAGAAAATGCCTGAAAACGAATGTCTGGGCATCAGTATATTTATGTTTTTAATTGTTTTGTTTTTTATTTGGCATATGTAGTTAAAAATAGCATAAAGTAGAAATATGGTGGCTATAGAAGTTGCAATCAGGTGGATGGAACAAAAGTGTGACAAGGACAAAAGTAATTTAGCACTAAATAAAGAGAGGCAGTAGATCAAAGTGACTAAAAATTCAAAAACCACAGCAATAAAACATGTCTGAACACAGGCAGTGCCAAAGAATAAATGAGCCTATGATTATGTGCTAGTGCTCACAGGGATTACTGCACACAGAGGTTGTGTCACCCTTCTACTAATAGAGGACTACAGCATTATTATCTTTAAGGCGTGGGAGTTTGTGGCATGAGCAGGAAATTCCACAGCAGTTGTGTATGAGGAATAGCTCTTAGAGATGTAGAGAGATAAGTAGCATTTCTGAAATCACCAATGCATGAATCTTAAACTATGATCAACGTGTCATGTCTAAGATGGCAAAAAATGGAAGCTTTGAAATTTATGTCAAACAATTAGATAACTACGTCAATTTTCTTCATCAGGGACAAACTGAGAGAAAGTTATGAAATTTAAAAAACAGGGCTATATTAAAATAGTATAAACAGCTTCATATCTAAAATGAATTTGACATAAAAAAAGAAAATTCAAGTATATGGATCAAACAACTAAAAACTAGTGTTAAATTACACTGAGTGATCTAAAATGTGTTTAAGTAAAGGTATTTTACAACAGTAAGTCCTATTCAGTAGTTGCAAACAACAAATGTAAAGATTGATATTTTATAAATTTTAAAGCTATGATCTTTTCTTCCACATGAAATTACTAGTATTTTTATAACTAACCATTGGAAACGAAACAATAATCATTAGATACATAAATTATTATTTTTCATAAACTCGGTTAAAAAATTAATATTCAAAATTACAATAACTGCAACTAGATATACAAAATTTTGATCACTTAGATAATAATACTCAGAATCAATACTGATTTAACAAAATACAGAATTCATTCTATAAATGTAATTCTACTGAGATATTTCATATAAAAAGAACTTGAAAAAATATGAAGAAAATAAACAATTAAAATTGAGCATTTTTTCTAATACACAGAATAAGATCTAAAATATTCATCCAATTATCTGTTGTATATGTGAATAAAAAATATGTGGTAAATTGTCTGAATTGAAACACACCATACAGTATCACTCTCATATATGAACAGATTTTCAAAGTACAGAGGAACATTATGATGTAATTTACACAACCTAAAAATTACTGCAAGCTTTCTGGACATGTAGCAGAATATGCATGAAAAAAAAAGAAGCCAAAAGATAACAGAAAGTAGGGAACAGCAGCATGCAAACTGACAGACTGTTGAAGGTTAGCCAAAAGGTGATACAAAAATAGAATCTGTACCTTTAAAAATAACTTGGATAAACATAAATAAAATATAACAGCTTCACATAAACCTTTTTTCAACTAAATAAAAAATGCTAGAACAAGTCTGAAAAAAAAAAGGTATACATGTACTTATTCACTTATCTTTGCTCTTTGTCTTTAGATAATATAATACAATGAGAAACACAAAACTTAAAAAAATATTCTGGTAAAGTTGTTATTTAATTTATTTAAGAAGTTTTTTTTTTCCTAAAACAAATTGAGCAACCTGCTGGACAAGGCATGAAAGACAAAGTCTGTAGATACTAAAACCAACTCTTCTTGAAGCACTTTAAAGAATATTCAAAATAAGACATGAAAGCATTGGTAATGCATGTTGATGGTATCTCAAGCATGTTCAAACAGATTTTCTCTTCCTTATTTTTATTTATGTGTTAACTTAAAATTCTAATTATACACCAAAATTCTAATCCATAATTTCGAAAAATAAAATTAATTTGGGAAACAATTTATAAAAACAAGAAGCTTACATTAAATTTGTAAATGAAGGTTAATATATATATATATATATATAAAAGTAATTTCAATTTTCTTAAAACTATATGCATATTTAACCATGTGCTTGAAATTTAAATTTTAAACAGAAAACACTTAGCTCTTAATAAAATCTTCTCTTAAAAGTAGGTTTAAGTAAATAGTTTTTATGAAACAACTAATTTGCTTTCAGTTTCTTCTCACAATGATCAACATACATAGGTATGTACCTACAAGTTTTAGCCATGTAGTTCTATGGTGATGCGTGTATTCAATAATTATTTTTACAACAATAACTATATTTATTCAGAAAGTAAGATTCCATAATAAGATTTACCTGGTTTGGTGTATTCATGTTTACAATGTCTGCACTAACACAGATAACAGGTCTTCGCATGCTTTCACAAAATAGGACCTCTTCAGTCCCTTCGATATGACATTAATGTGGAGCCCTATTTGGGAATAACTTAATATCAAAGCTTTCATTAACAGAAATCCTTTTTTGCTTTCATATAACACAGCAAAACATATTTCTACTTGCATTTAATTGATATCTACAAAATTTTAAGACCAGCATACTTCATTTAACTTTTAGTCTTCTTAGTAAACAAAGTATCAAAGAGACCACTTGTTTACCATACATTACAGTATATGCTGCACTTTAAAGATATTAAAATGACTTAACTTGATGACAGGTTATTCAGTTACCTGAAAATATCCGAGAACATAAAAACAGTACAAGAACTTAATGAATAAATGTCCTCAATAAAACAGGTAATTCATAAGCAATATAAAAACTAAATGTGTTAGTTACTGATGTTTCTATTAAGTTCTTAAAAATCATACACAATTTAGTTTTATTCAAAGCAAATATAAAAAGTGTCAAGTGTGAAATTTTTTAAATTGAAAAATTACTTACTGTAACTACTACAATCCTATCATAAAACAAAATATATCTTCAAAATGTTTCAATTCTTTTATTATTTAGATAAACAAAATTTCATGATAGTATGTATTTTGAAATTATTTACATAATACAATATAATTGCCCGAGCTTAGGTTAAATGATGGCTGTTAATTGTTAAGAAAATTGCATACTCTCAGAAATGTTAATTTGCTACTAGAGTTCTTTTATTATTTTATTTCAGAACACAAATAAGTGTTAAAACTTCAACAGACTAACTTACTGTTGGGTAAAATATAAAATTTCAAACGCTAATGGTACTTGAATAATCATCTAACAGAGATGTGTAATGCCACTACATACACAACTGTACACCAACAACGATCACAATCTCTTTAATCTAACTCTAAACTGAGTTATTCACTTATAATAAATACAATAAAAAGTATACTTTTAGAAATGCATACATGTATCTGTAAAATAACACAGTATAATGAGGAAAGTAATGTATAGAATTAAAATAACTGTTGAAGATCATTAAAGCAGAAAGTTGTATGGTATTGCATATACCAAAATCACCTTTATTCAATAAATCATCCATACAGAAAGTTACTGTAATACATATGTGCAAAAGTTTGATATTCTGAACACATCAAAGTTTAAAACACACACTTCAGCACCATAGAACCAATTCACAATTTTTGCCCCAATGCTTAATTTCTTCTACCAATCCTCTATCATTTTCTTCAATGCACTTTTGTAAAAATACAAGAAAAGTGGATTATGTTTTATGGTGATCTTATTTGAGAGGCTACACTCCTGCCACTTTGTTCTAGGAAGTAACTGTAAAATGCTATAAATCAAAACAACTTTACTACCTGATTTGACTAAATAAACCTATCCACAAGCTTTAGCTTTGTTAAGTTTCTTCAGCTTAGAACAGGATTAATGAAGGCATGGAAAGAACAAAGTAAAACATAAAAATACTTATATTAAATATAATCGGGATTAAAACATTTAGCTACATTTTTTGTGATATGAATGATGGAGAGTAAACATTTGTTTTTTATCTTTTGCTAATGTAAGATGATTAACACAGATGAGCATAATAAACTTTGCCACACCAGTCATCCCTAGAGATTGCTCCTAGACCTGCTAGAAGCATTTGGCAGTATCTCGACTCATAGTCACTTGTGTCAAATGATTTACAATTTCCAAAGAGAACTCTGCTACAGTAGTAATTTTGAGATACAAATTTAGTATTAAACTAAGTTGACAAGTGACTGTGGGGAGAGAAGTGTTACAGATGATGGTTGCTATATGCTCTACAATACCACAACATATGCCATTAAAATGTAAAAGGGACAGGGGGAGTGATCAATCCTCCACCAATAAAGAAAATAGGGGGAGGGGGCATATCTACTCCATCCCCATGTAAATTACATGAAAAGAAGCTAAGCACATAATCATGCAACAAGACTCAGTTTTCAATAAAGAATGGTTTAGTTTTTGAATATTGTGCAAAGCTATATGAGGGCAGTTAATCAACACCACCTAACTAAGTTTTTTTGGTGGTAATGTGTCACTGTTGACAAAACCTTAAGATCTCAGATTCACAGTCTGACATGCTAACTACTGGGCTTGGCTCAGTTCTGAATAGAGTAATCCATTTAAAGTTCACATCAATTAATAAATCTATGTAGATCTTACCATTCATATGAATACTGAACTCTTAGTAAAACAATGCTATATTTTTAGATGTTGTTTAATAAAACAGTTACATCCACTCTTCCATCACTACAAATTAAGTGTCCTATATCATTTTTAAAATGTAAATATCGTATGCCACCATTAAAGATATAAATTTAAAAACAAATATTCTTAACTATTAATGACAAAAGTACTATAACTATTTTTTCCCTATATCCCCATAATTTAAACCTGTGAAGAAATGACATTATGCTACACATTCTGACCAGAAGCTGAGAAACTAGTCAATGATGTACTCTGGCATTTTTCAAAATCTTACAAATTTTATTAGTTTCTCTTGAAAAGCCTGACTACTGTTTGAACACAGCAATTAAATTATGAAACTACAGTTTTCCAAATTACTTTTGCTGCTTGAGTAAGATTAGTCTACAGAAGCTAAACAAAAATAATTTGATTGCAAGAAGATATCTAAACATATACACATACACATATCCACATGTTTACACTCCACATGGAATAATCTCAGTGCATTTAAATATGCTCTGTCAAACATACAATCACAAGATTTAACAACGTCTCACAAAAATGTAATTTCTATAATAGAAACTTCCAAATTATTTTATTTGCTTTGCAATCCAAATGTTATAACTCTCAAATACAAATGCAAAAACTGTATATAAAATGCATGTACAATCATTTGAAGCTAATACAATTGATTCAAACTTCTATACAAGTAAATATTTCTACTAGATAACCTTAGTAAGTGGCTTATAGCTGGATATTATGTCTTTACTTCTAGTATATAGATGTTCATAGGCAACCCACAACCACAGAACTTCAAAGCTCATCACTATATCAATCTCCGAGGGTAGTAATCTCAAGATTAACAGAATAATAAAGTTAATCGAGGGGCACAGCATCAACAGTGCATGGGAGTAAAAGTGCACCAAGAATTTTTAAAAATGTTAGCATATTGCTGTTTCCCTAGTTGACTTCCTTCAATTACTAGTCATGTATGTATTCTTTGGAATTGCCATTGATTAAGGTAGTAGTCTAGCAATGGAGAAATTTTTATCAGCCCTAAATGTTTTTTACCTAAAGCAGTGACTAGGTAAACAACCATTTTAAAGTAAAAGGAAGGAAGAAATTTAGTTTTATATTTTATCTCATGTGAAAAAGTAAAGTTTCTTCATGTATGACTTTTAAAGTTATATAGTCATGACAATACATGTTGTAACAACTGCTGCTATTTATCAGTAATTTGCAATTCAGGGCGTATAATTGACATGATTATATATTTGTTTAAGATTGTTTTCAGGATGGGGAAAAGCAAGTTATTTTTGGAATTAGAAAAGCTTTTTCTTTTGTTTTGATAATGAAATTTCCTTGAACAATGGTAAAAGTATCAGTTTCAACTGAACATATTTTAAACTTATCTTCCCCCCCCCCCTCACACACACACACTCATTTTTTCACATCATGGGTACAGCTAATTTTCTGGGACACCACCAATTTACAATTCCACCCTACGTCCTTGAGTTGAAATATGTTTGGCAAATGTTATTCAAAGAGTGTATGATTTTTTTATTGTTAAGATATTCCACTTGATCTTAAAACATTGTACAACTTACTGAATCTCATAGATTTCCTTTTTTTATTTTGCAGTTTGTAGATGATTACAATTAACATTCAATCAAATTGAGAAGGTAAGATAACTCAAGGTTAAAATTAAGAATATTTTAGTGTCTCACCCTCAAGGTACACTATGTATATATTTAATAACTTGTCATCAACTTTCAGACAAGAATATTGCATAACTGGTGGATGAAGATATTGCTGGCAAAGTTGTAAACTCAACTTTCTTACAGTCTGTGTCTATAAATATGATAGAACTGCAGGTGTTTTATAACTTGTACATTTGATGAAGGTTACCCATTTTACCAGACATGCAGCCATTAAGATTAAAGACAAAAAAACAGTATCATCAAGAACAAAGGTATCTTTACTGATTTAAATGAATAAGAAAAGTTACAAAATTTATCACAATATGAGTAACTAACAAAAGTTTGAAAGTTTTTTTTAATTTAACTGCTTAATTAAAAAACTATCAAATTTTCGATAGTTACTGATATTGTGATAATTTTGTAACCTTATTCATGTGTTAAACAAAAAGACTAAACAAAAAACTCAAAAGCTTTTAACAGAAAGTGAAAATAACTATCAATGATTCAACTTTTCACCATCATTAATATAACAAATATCATTACTGATATTTTGTTTTCTTGCAAACAACATCCAAAATAGCAGATTATAATAGTAAAAGCATTAATGGTGTAAACTTCTTAACAACTTAACATATTTCAATTTTCAAATTAGAACTTACTGAAATAGTTCAAGTTTCTTATCAATGAAAAAATACGTTTTACATTATATACTCAGACATAAATACTTCAAATTATTAAACTTTAAAACTCTAGTGAAAAAATTTAATAGCAAAACACAGGTGATTCAATAGTAAATTGACAAGTGCATTTCTTTAAACCTGCATAAAGCATCAATTGTCAATACAACAGCCAAGTGTAAGAAACTTCATTTCTTAGTAACAACACCTATTTGCATATATTCCACCTAGCACGGGAATTTAAAAATAAACTAAACACCAAAAAGAAATCCCTCTTCACATTAGAAAAACTTAGCCATTGATCAATCAACTGTTCCACACTGTTTCTTTGATTCCTTTTATACTTCTAAAAGCTGAACTTTAAAGATTTAAGCACTGAATTAATAATTTAGTGTGTGTATGTGAATAAAAATGAAGTAAGGTGGATACATGAATAAAAAGACTGAAAATTAAACTTTTTCCTGGGATGTTTACAATTTTGAATGCTTTCACAACCATGTTAAGGAACCAGATCTTTTCACCATTGTGTACAACGTCTTAACAAAGATTGTTTACCTTAGAAATGTAGATCCTTACTTGGAAAAGTTGTCTTGCATATAAATAATATTCTTTTGAAGTAGTTGAACAACCTTTCATGAATAACTGTTTACTAAGTTGAACAAAGAGTGTAGTGTAGATCTTAAAATCTCATACCCTCCTGATAAAAGAGTATACTAATGATATAGGTTTGTTTATTTTTAGCTCAGTCAAACAAACAGGGTATCCTTTACAAAGCAAACTTCCAAGAAACTTTCAACATAACAAACAAGTTTTTGAGATATTAAAGAGCTGAATGTAATGATGCACACAAATTTTAATACCAGCCTTACTGATGTTTTCAGAGCTTATCATGCTAGCCATTAATTTTTATTATGCCAAGAATTATCTTTTTCTTTATATTTATTATTGATTTCTTAGAGAGTACAGCATTTTTACAAACAATAGGAAATAAATTATTCCAAACATTCTCTGTGTTTCACCTTGTATCTAATAGTTTAAATATGTAAACCTTGGAAATACTTTTAAGCCATGTATTTTTTTCTTTCTTTTAATATGTTTGAATCACTCACACCTGTTCAGTTGTAAAAGGAAGATGATTGATGTTTAAAGTTCTACAAGTAGTTCAGAAAGGATAGACCATTTATGAGAAGTATCTGTTCACAGATTTAGGAAACTTTAATACTCTTTTTGTCAGAGAAATTGAGGACAGCACTGCCCTATTGGCTAGTGTACTGTGGGGTCTAGGATTGCCTGTACCTTGCCATTGTTTCCAATGGCAAGACAATTTACCCAATGGTTCAGTCTACCCAGCTGTAAAGTGCATATCAACTGATGGCTGGGGATTAACTTTCAATGGACTGGCATCCTGTCCAAGGGGAAGGGAGCGAGGTGTGTATCATCATTCCCATTGTTTTGCTTTTTCATATTAGAGAATACAGATGTTTTCAAATGATAATGAGAAATGTTATGTTTTTTTGATAGTTATATTTTATTACAATCTTATTTTTTAAGATCAATCATCTTTTAATTGTAATTATCAATATCTTTAAATAGATATGAAACATCACAAGTTCACAACATAAACATAATATAAACTAATTCCTTGTTCTCTGATCTGAAGATTTACATAAAGAGGGACTCCACATTGTAGTGACTCATCCAACACTGTTTTTTAAACAATATTTGTTAGCAATAAAAACTGTGAAAAGAAAAACTGACAATATTGTAAAATAGTATGTAACTAAATGAGTATGTTACTTACTTTGAATAATCTTTTATATGTCCTTTTCAATTTTCTTGTAAAACCATAAATCTAGTCCTTATTGCCCTCAAACCCCTTTCAACCCATCCCCCAAGAAGAGAATATGGGAGTTTCCAATAACAAAAAAAAAATCAGAAAAGATCATTTTTACTGGCTATTTTCATATGTATATAACAGCAACTTTCAAGTGAATTTGTTTATTCAATTCTGAAGCCCTTTCAAAATTTCCTTCCCCCCCCCCCCCCACATATGAAATCCCCCAATGACTTAATTTTTTTTTTTAGTATTCTATGGGGGAGGGAGATCAAGAGCCCATGTAGACACTTTCCAGTCTGATTAAAAACTGTGGAGAGAATTCAAAAATCAAGTAAACAGGTATAATTGAGGGTTACTATATAGATACTACACACAGGAAATTTATATACTGTGACAAGATACATTTACTTAAAAGCGATATGAAAACAGTAAAATGCTATTCTACTACTATGTCATATCAGTAGAAATAGCAGTACTTACATAAATATTTGCAATTATAATCCTTTTCTAACAGTTGAAAAAATTATATTTATAAATATTTATTTATAAATCAATCAACATTCATTCACACCACACCTTACTAGAAATTTCTTAATTGTACATCATTACACAGAACAACCTATAAATTTAGTATACCAGTTATTATTCCTAACATGTGGCTTTACTTACAGAACATATTAAAATTCCTCATAGCTTACCTTTCAGACGATCAAGTGTTCCACAAATGAAGAAATAAAGAAACTAACAGAGTGTAGCTAGCAGTCTCAGCTCTTAATATTTATACATAAATCATCAACTTGATGTACAGAAATTGTTAAAAGTTTTAGCAGAAGTAATAAGATGTATGCATCATATACCAAATCCTACTGACTGCAAGATTCAGCTTGAGTAAAGATAAACTCAAGATTTGTGTCTGCAGTAACCAGATCAATTTCTGTATTAATGAACATCTTATGAGACTTTTATGGCTGTTTCAGGGATCTGCAAGAGACAAGCTTCAGTGAAAGCATTCGATTTGGACAGTAACGAGTTTGCCGCTTATCAACACTCAGACGGAGAGATGCATCTGTTGAAACAATAATTGTTCTTTTCTGTTCAAGCTTCTCCAAACACTTCTGTAAGATAAAAGAAAAACAGTAATGACTAGGTACAAATTAACAAAGTTATGATTCTGTTACTTAAGATATATACTGTAGATAAAACTATTATACTTTATGACTTAATTAATAGAACTTGCATGCAAACATATTTCAATTTAGAAAGATTGAGAAAAAGTTCAATGGAAATTGACTGGAAAAAGGGAGAATAAACTGGAAATATATATGGCTTAATGATTTCTTAATTCTGCACAGAGATGAAACATCACAATACAAAATATAATACTTCTTTTTTGCTCTTTATTCTTATTTCTAAAATTTTAAACCAGTACAAATTGAAAAAAAAAGTAGTGTTGGCATTTTACTGGAAAAGTAAGTCAAATATTTTATTTCTATTTTTATCTTAACAGCATATATCAAATTTTACTTAACGTAAATTACATGAAAATAAGAACGAGTCTATGGTACATTTCCAGCATACCAACAACAAGAAAACCTGTGCTGCATATTACCAGCTATAATACCAAAACTAAATAACTATCTCTGTTATTCATGCCATTATTATGAATTTATATTGCAAGTGTAAATAAATAATAGATGTAGTTTGCATAAAATTGAAGGATACACAACACAGTATGGGTCTCAGTGGATGAATTATATATATACACTGAGTGGTCACAAGTAAATAGACACCATCTTTTCAGAAAAAAATGAAATTTTTCAGT